CCGCGGGCCGCTCCCCGGCGACCGCGGGCCCCGCCGGTGCCCGCCGGAACAAACGCCCATAGCGCTCCGGATCCTCTCGATGCGGGCCGCCGGAACCCTGGCCCTGGGGCGCCCCCTCGTGCTGAGAAGGGTCAGTGACCCGAGCGTCAACAACGCCCCTAGTGCTGGGGCAGGGCTGCCGGTGAGCAGCCCCATGGGGGTGCTTGCTGTGTGCGTGTGTCATGGAAGAAATGGATTAACTTGAAAAAAAGAAGTTTGGTGGCGAGGGCCGGCAGGTGGCGCGGTGATTAAGGCATTAGACTCCCACGTGGTTCGCCCTGGTTCTAGCCCTGCACCCCGCGACTTGAAAACGACAACTGGGCATATATGCATGCCCCACTCCCAGAAGGCACTGCGGTGAGGCCATGCCCCCGGTGACCCCTCTCCTTCCCTCCATACACCTGTACACCCTACGGGGGACCTGAAGGAAAACACTGTTCGGTGGGTGCTGGCAGGAGGCATGGAGGTTAGGGGCACTGGATTCCCATTCCCATGACGGACCACGGCTGTTCGAGTCCTGGTCCCAGTGGCTTAAAACTCACGCCAGGCACGTGTGTGCGCCGGAGAATGGAGAAGGGATTGAGGTGTGGCCATCCCCCCGGGAGGTGATTTCTGTGTCAAGCGCACTCTACCTCGAGAGGAAAAAATAATCCAGCTTGGTTGGGGACCAGCAGGTGACAGGGTTAAGGCACTGGACACTCGCATATGGCCAACCAGTTAGGAGTCCTGGACCTAGTGGCTTATTTTCCCTCTCTCTGGTCAAGTTAAAACAAATAAACTAAATAAAAACTTTCATTGAACTTTATTGATTCATTTATTTTAATTTGAGCACAGAGTGAGAGACAGTGAGAAGGCAAGCTGCCATGTCTGGGACTTGAACCACGGTCAGCTATGTGAGAGTTCAGCACTCAACCACCATGCCACCTGCAAGCCCCGAAATTCTTAAAAAAAAAAAAAAAGAAACACCAGATGGACACCCCAGGGAGGACACCAGGCAACGCACGCGCTGCACTCCAACTGGGAAATTCTTAAAAAAAAAAAAAAAAGAAACACCAGATGGACACCCCAGGGAGGACACCAGGCAACGCCAGCGCTGCCCTCCAACTGCGAATCTCAGACTCCAGGGGCAACCCCACCCCGACAGCGAGTTTCTGCATGAGGTGCCCGTGTGCCCCCCCCCCCGCCCCGCAGTGTGGCCAGCAGGTGGCACCACAGCCCCAAGGGCTGGACCACTGGGGGATGGGGCAGCCAGAAGTGTGACCACAGGACCGGCCACAGCCACCAACCAGGTGTGTGACCCAGGGCCAGGGAGGAACAGTGAGGCCAGGCCACCCACACCTCCCCTGCAGGGGCAGTGATGGCCAACACGAGACATAGGCTGGGAGGTGCAAGCAGGAGCTTCCCAAGTCGAGACCTCTCCAGAGACTGCGAGGGAGATGCTGCCCCTCGAACACCAGGAGAGCGGAGTCATCTTAAGGCAGCGATGAAAAAGTAAAATATAAACCTTTATTTAGAACTCAAGCGAGCACTTCAGTATCACAGACACAGTATTAAACTCCAAGGAATCTGCCTCGAGTTCCGAGCGAGCGTTTATTTGCACAAGTACAACATGCGGGCACCCGAGCCGAGCCCGCGGGCGCCCCGCAGCGCCACTACTCCTCCTCCTCACCCGCGGACTCTCTCTCCAGCGTGTAGGCCATGAAGCAAGCGTCGGGTCTCTTGGGGACAAGGGGATGCCCGGGTCTCACAATCTCAAAGCCCAGAAAGCTGAAGGTCCGGAGCAGCGCGGCTGCAGGGGGAGGCGGTCAGGACGGGCGCCCCGCCCACAGGCCCCCCGCCCGGGGCGCCCCGCCGGCACCCACCTCTGTCCTCGCGGCCCTTGTGGAAGC